AAAAGCCTAATATTGTGTATCATAGCAGAAGTGTAATTTTCACCTGACTTAAAATAGAAGTAATACCCCCCTGTGGGAGACAATGAAGGAAACTGTGTGCAGTTCTAACAACTACTCACTCTGACAAACCTACCAGTTCTGCAGAGCTAGACAACTGGCACCACAAACTTAAGACAAACTTGAAACTGCCCAGAGAGCTAGAGCATGAAGTTGATGTGAAGGCACATGAGAAAAAAAAGGGTCTCTTAAGAAAAGGAAAATAAAATGAAGAAGCAACAGAAAAAAAAAAAAAATCAGGAAAAAGTCTGTAAGGGATTGTTGGTGTATGTGAAGTTAAAGACTTCCTGTAAAATGCTGGCTAATATTAGCAAAGAATCTCCCCTTTATTTGATTTCATAGAATCATAGGATAGTTTGGGTGAGAAGGGACCTTTGAAGGCCAACTAGTCCAATCACCCTGCAAAGAGCAGGGAAACCTTCAACCAAATCAGGCTGCTCAGAGTCCTGTCCAACCTGACCTTGACTCTATCCAGTCATGGGCCATCTACCTCCTCTCTGAGCAACCTGCTCCAGTGTTTTATCACCCTCATTGCAAAAACCTTTTCTTATATCCAACCTAAATGAACTCTCTACTCAAAATCATTACCGCTTCTTCCGTCACAACAGGCTCTGCTAAAAAGTTTATGCCCATCTTTCTTACAGACCTCCTTCAAGTACTGGAAGACTGCTGGGAGGTCTTGCCAGAGCCTTCTCTTCTTCACTCTAAACACACCCAATTCTCTCAGCCTTTTCTCATAGGAGAGGATTTAACCAATGATTTCTTTAATGTTCAGAGGCGACTTCACTAATGCATGGAGAAATGGGATTTAACATATCTGTTATTCTTAACTGGAATATAATCACAGGTATCTGCTTACATCAACAATTTCTGCTCACCAAAACAATTCTCAGAAAATGTAACCAAGCTTTTTGTTGTTTGGTTTTACTTTCAAATGTACATCAAAAACAATCACAGAGTCACCTTGTTAGGTGGCATACAAACACTCCATAGAATTTCAGAATCTCATAAGATTTAACCAAAATTCCAGAAGAAAATATAAGATGTACTATTGCCCAAAAATATTTCCCTATCTCCTGGTTTCACCTTTAGTCAAGGGCAACATTTCCTATTATCCATCTTTAAAACTAGTTATCAATATCTTGACCTTCTACACGTATCTTGCTCATCTTTTTCCCTTAATTGTTTCATACACTTATTTTTCTCTAAGTAGGCCTGGTACTATTTCCTTGAGAAAGAGAGACACTACAATTAACCAAGACCTTGTCACTTTAAGTAGCAGAAATATCCCTGCATCTGCTTATCCCTTAACACAGTAAAATCCTGTCTTCCCAACTGACCTCTAATACATACAGATATTTCTGTCCCAAATGACACTTGCTATTGGGCTGCATCTTCTTATTTACAAAGACAACAATGGTAATTTCTTATTCATTAAACATAGTAGGTCACTTTGTATTTTGCAAGGATCTTTTCCTTTGATTTTATACCAGCTCATCTTGCTTTTTAAGTCCCATAATCTCTGCACATCTGCAAACTATTAGCACATTTTTCAAACTTGAAGTTCTGTCCAAACTCCATTAAAATTATCACCTTTTTATTTCAGATCTTGGCAGACTATCTTTTTATGTTCTATCTGGCTCTTTATTACATTGTTCATCTTTTCAGCATGAAAAGATCCCTTGCCACACCACTTTAACACAGAACCCTTTTTCTTTTGCTGTGGGTTTATTTAATCCTAATTTCCTAATTAATTTCCTAATTTCACACAGATTGTAGTTCATTATTTCTCTAGTTACACTTATAATTTCAGATACTTTTTTAAATAAAAAATAATATATAGAAATAGCAGAGTCTTTAAAAGTTTTTATTTAAATTCCTATTTTAAACCAAAACACTACTGCATCCTCCACTGAGGAATCGTTGTCAGTTATCACAGTTTCATTGGTATTCATTTTGGGTCATGAAAGAGGGAAGAGCTGCAGACAAGAGAAAAAGAACACAGTTTGCATGCAAAGGCAAACTGCTCTCCTGCAAGGTTAAGCAAAGATAATTTTAGAAGCCATTCCAAGTACTGTATTTATGCAGGTTTTTCTGACCTAAGCAAAAACTTCAAACCAAAAAAACTCCCAAACCAACCAAACCCCACCTCCACCACAAGGGTCCTGCATTACTTTCAGCTAATGAAAGGGGAATTCTCTCTGCCCACATATAAATGAAGCAGTCAGCAGCTTTAAGAGAGAGCTTTAAAGCTTAAAGATCAGCCTTTTTAAAACAGCATTTTATTATAGTCCACTTATGAATAGAGATGGTTCATAAATACCAGTTCTTTTATAATATAGATAGACATCAACCCAGAAAAACATGCTTTCTCTCTTTGCCCACATACTTTCAGTTCTGTTGAAATGTCATAAACCCCAAAAGGTCTGACAGATATTAGATAATTCCACTGAGCCTTACTCTCTCTATCTCCTGGAATATTTCTTCAACACTGATAATTATATGACTTCTAGGTACTTTGGCTCTTTTTCAAATGCAGATAATGTGCAACCCTTGACAGTCCTGTACTCGTGCTGCAAGTATAACATCACTGAGATATCCACAGATGAAAGACTGCACACACACACAAGCCAATATCCCTGGATTGACAGCTGGGAAAACCCATGTACAAAACTGCTAAAATACCCTAATAATGTGTGTACCATCACGTGCATTCCTGGCTATCTCAGGTACTAGGAACGTAAGTTTGGAGAATTCTCTTCTGCAGATTCCAGTCACTACATCACTGGTGAAACAGGGCAAGAAGCACCCTCTCAATGCAGGAAAACACAGTATTTCACTTTCCTTGGCATTTCTGCCAAAATCAGCAGGCAGAGCACAAGGATACGCCCTCTGTTCACAACACCACCCTTATTGTTATCTTATTCTGTGATGAAGCAAACATCACTGTCCAAAGCAAAGACTATTACTCTAAATTTTCACACAGGCTTTCACCAGCTGTTTTTTGGTGAATTTTTCAGCAGTACCTTCAAAAGCACTTGTACAGACAATAGCTTGGGAGTCATCAGTTTTTCTCCACATTTGCATAATATGAATTTTCACAAACAAAAAATTTAAGAATTTCTATTTTGTTGCATTTAACTAGATGGAAATCATTTTTGTAAAAAAGTAAATCAAGGGATTTATTATCAAGAAGGAAGAAGCAGAGACTTCTACACTTTTTTAGTCTCACATTCAGAACTGTATTTCAAAACACCAATAACACTCTCATGTACACATAGACTTGACGTGATTTTCACAAGAAACAAAATACAAACCTATACTTCCCCTAGTGAGACTGACAAGCCCATTGGTAAAATAAGAGATCCTCTATCATGATTTTGTAAATAACCACAGCAGTGATATGTCAGGTAATTTAACTTTTTAGAATAAATTTATCACACCAAAATTCTGATGTGGCAACATAGCCCAGAATAGCAAGCATTAAGTAAGAAACAATCAAACCTTGTTAATTTTTTTAATTAAAAAACCCAAACAAACACTAGCATCAAAACTTGGAGGCCTGGATTTTTCCTCTCTTTCTACAAGTACACTGACAGTAATCTTGACTGTCTTCTGCCCCCCTGCTCAAACCCACTGTCCAAACACAACTTCAAAGCCTTGAATAAATGAAGGCTAAAGTCAAGAATAGTAATTTTTATGTTGTGTTCATCCTTTCTGAGATAAAGGAACAAGGCACAGTCCTACTGTTTCCATAATATGACTATGATTTTAATATACCTACAGGGTGAAGGACAGAAAGACAGCCTGCAACACTGATTTGATCCCATTAACCAAAGTGTTATAGAGGTTTACAGAATTTGGAAGAACTTTTGATGGTTTAATCCTATTTTAATGAATTTTTACCCTTGAGATGTTACTTAAAATCTGATTTGGCATTGGACCAAAAAGTACTCTGCTAATGCAGAATAAGTTCCATATACTGGAGTAGGAATTGCCTTGGTACTTTCACTTTACATGAAATGGACATAGCTTTATAGCACTGTTGCTCTCCACAGAATGGAAATAAATGCATTTTTCATTTTGTTTTTATTTTTAAAAGGAGTGATTCATCTTATTTTCACTGGATGGAAGTAGGAGCAAGTAAACAGGTCGTGCTATTAAAAACTCACCAAAAAGTGTCTTGAATTGTATATAACCACACATTTTAAGGCTGTTAAAAATAACACTCTGTATATATATAGATTTTCTAAGAGAAGCAGAATGCTTCAAGAGTTGTGATAGTATATGTGTGAATGAACAGGTGTCTGCCTACTAGAAGTTGGATGCTGCTGCCATATTTTCAGTTTTTCAGTAACAGATAATTCTACCTCCTTTTGATGGCACTTCATTTTTTTTAAGCTACAGAGCTGAGTGCTATGTGATTTTAATTTTTTTAAAATGTGGAGATTAATGAAAGCCAAGGTTTTCATTCACACATCAACTTACATTTAAGAGAAACATCAACAGAGATCAGATGGGTTTTAAAAGAACATCAAAATTAAAAAGGAGCTATTCAGACCACACATCTGGAGAGAGTGCGTGCTGGTTTCGCAGTCACGTATGCATCCAGAGAAGTCATCGGTATTATCATAAATTGATGCTATGAAAACAACATGGGAATTGTCTCCCTGTCATTGCCACACCCACACAGTGCCAAAGATTGGAATAGCAGTGTCACCCTGTAGACTTCCAAGCATAACAAGGGCCTCCACTGGAGAGAAAAAGCAGCCTAGCAGGTGAGGAGAGCACAGGTTCAGATCAAGACCAACTGGAGGGAAAAAGGAATATTTTTTAAAAAGAACAATAAACACATTCCTGAAAACCCTAACTCATAGGTATCTCCAGCTTCCTTAAATTATCTGACTTCTTCAGATAGGAACAGCAGAAATTTACTCTGTTTATTTAAAGTATGACACATTTAAGTTTATTAAGTGAGTATTTAAAGCATTTTTAATACAAAGTACCCATCTCTACACAACTTTTGGTTTGGGACAGAGGTAAGGAAGCAGTCTAATGTACTTGCAAGCTGCATTTTCAAAGTCAGAAAAGGACATGTATTTAAGCTATGATCATAACTTTATGTCCCAACAACACAATTTCTTCTTGCACTAGAAGATGGGAAAGAACATCCTTGACTCCATATAGGATGTACTGATTTGTAACTCCCAACCACAATAATAATGAGGTGGCAGAGCAGAAGTAGCAGGAAAGACAAGTATATTGAACCACATGCTGATCCCTAGTCTCAGCCTACACATAGAAAAATAGGTGGAAAGAGCCCTCTATTGCTCCCTTCTGCTTCATTTCATCAGCTTCCTTTATAGGTTTGTTTTATTATTTTTCACAGTTGTAAGAGTTCAAACATCCCAAGAGCAAAAGAATGTGAGATTCCTTGGAGGTTTTCAAGCGGAGTTTTGGGATGAGTCATCACCAGAAAAATGTCTAATGTCCCACTCCAAAGGTGATTCACTAAAACAAGAAGATGGATTAGAGCTGTTGGCTGAACAGCAGCATATTTTTCTGATATATTCAAAACGTTCACAATGTCTCTATTAAATGCCATTTAGCTTGAAGAGAAGGAAAAGATTTTGACTAGGATAGCTAGATATAACTGAAAATATTTTATTAAATTATTAAAAATACTCAATGTAAAAGCAGAAATATTAAGACTCATTCAATTGTAATTTGAAAGTCAACCCACCTTTATGAAACCATCCACAAAAAGCTTCAAATAATTTTCACTTGCTGTATTCCACCCCATTTCGTAAATAACCTGAAAATTATTACAAGTTACTCTTCCTAGACTCATTTAAAAATAATTATTTTATTAAAAATAAAAGGGTAGTTTCATATAAACATCAATAACACTGAGGTGTGCTCTATGAAATAACTGATGAGCTGACATACTAAACAGTACTCTTCTTGGATTTTCTACAGGCAGAACAGAGAAAAGCAGTCACCAACAGCCAAGTCACAGAACATTGTCTATTCCTGATGAGAGCACCTTTTTTTTTTTTAATGAATAAATATTACAATGGAAAAGGTCAAAAAACCTTCCCCGCTCCAAAAAAAATCCAAATAATGAACACTGATAAATTCCCACCATGGGGTTAATAACAGCATTTCAAGCTGTTTCTTAAACTCCAGGGACAGATGCTTGAAGAGACTGTAAGAATAACTTCAGGGTCACTCACTGCTAAGGGATTCTCTGGATTCTCTACTTCAGCAAGGAATACCTTCTAGGAAAGCATATCCATCACTGATGCTATTGTATCAATAAGGTTTATATTAAAAACACAACAATGGAAAGCAGCAAGGGTGAGTCCTCTGAGTCACTGAACTCCAAATGATCCTACGTCACTTTCATGACAGAACTACCATGCTAGCTTACTTATTAAATAGAAATCTGCAGAATGAGACTGAGAATGAATAAAAATGAGTTATAGTAATGGCACTTTGCACCATACACCATTCACTGCAGCCCCTTGAATGGCATTTTCTTTTAACAAATGCATGTGCACTGCATGCACCTGTGGATTTTACACACACATCTATCAAGTCACTTCTTCAAAATATGAACATTGTGTTGATATATAAAGTAAATATGGAAAGCTTTCTATGTGAATAAGCCGTGTTGTGTGCTTTGTTTGAAAAGCAGAGGGTTTCTAAGGTGTCAAAATAATGTCTCGTTTTTTCCTCTACATGCAAATAATATTTTGGATTTTTTCCCTGTTGGCATTGTTTGTAGAACTTCTCTGAAATACTGGCACATACGAGACATACCGAAAGCAACTCTTCATGAAGCATTACCGCATCTCAGACTTCAGTCTCATTCAGGCTTCAGACTTGTTCTTTGGCAAGATTATATGACAATCCCAATTTTGCAAACATTAACTAGTGCTAGTGAACTAAACTGAAATCTTAGTTTCACCTGTGGGAAATGCCTCACAGAGCTCAGGTAAACAAGGTTGTCAGATGTTAAACTCAGACACCATGACTGCACCAGGAATCACACAAAGATCCAGTGCCACATCATGTTTGGCCCTTTCTTCTGACAGGCCATCTAAAAAAGCTACAAGGATCCTTCTCAGTAATTTACCAGCTGGCTTTAAAATCCACAGAGTTTTCAGCCAGTGGGAAATTAGAAGCAATTTTTAAAAAAGCTATGGAAAGTTAATGTATTCACCAGGAAAAGCTTAAATGAAATGTCTACTAATTCATGAATTATAACTGAAATATGTAGATATTTTCCAAAATCTAAGACTTCTGAAGACAAAAATGGATTGCAGATCCAAGCAACCTACAGCAATCTCTCGATTATTCTTTCCATTACAACTAATATTACTGTACTTTATATAATATTTCAAAGCATGTAATAACTTTTAGTCTCTTCCAAACTTTTGCTTGTTTCTGTTGGAAACCGTAACAAAAAATAATCATGGCAATATACTTCCAAATAAGTATTAAATTAAGGGCAAATGTGTATTGAAGACAATTCTTAAATTGTCAGTTTCACTTATGTGGATTTGTATTATGTTATTTCACTCCTTTCAGATTTTTCATTTCTTCTCTATTACAAAATTGTCTATATAAATACAATCTGAATGTAATTTTTTTAAAGTTGTTATTATACTCCACATACTTACCAGTTGCCTGCCTGTATTAATATCTGAGTAAATATCTCACAGCTTCAACATGAGATGAAGAGATTTAAAACATCTCTTCACCACTGATGCAACGTTGAGTTTAGCCTTTTCTGAGTTACAAGGCTTCATTTAAGTGCATTTAAGTTTTAAATGCAGCCATGTTGACCTTGGCCTATCCATATTTGTCACTGAATCATCATGTCCTGCAAGATCTAAGAAGTTCTATGCATTGATACTCTCAGTCTTTACTTACCCACTTAGGTTCAGACTCCTGATACACCTAAGTTTCAAACACAATCCTCAAGTTGCCCTTTTCTAATCTGCAATAGGAAATCCTTCAGCATCAAATGATAACTACAAAGGCAAAAAAAAACCCAAAACAGTAGGAACCAAGATATCTTGAGATAATATCTCATTTGAAAATTACTTTTCCTCCAAGAGAAATATTTATCATGACCACAAAAAGATGGTCCTGTTGCCTTCAGGCCCTGCAATGGAAAAGGTACCATGCCTAATCAAGCACAGGGGAACCAGTCAGATCTCTTGTCCACCCTACTCAAACGCTGCGTGCAGCATAATGCCCTCAAAAAGGCTCAGAGGGGAGAGAACCCAGTAAATTAGAGAAGCAGTATGAATAACAGATCAGTCAAATATTCTAAACTATGAATATGGAGCGCTGCACTTAAGACCAGAGGCATCCCCAAGCAGGAGCCCTAGATAAACCCCAAGAGTTCTTACAGCTGGCTGTTGTACACCCTGACAGTCATCCCATAGCAGCAAAACCTGTTCCAGAGCAGCAGATCTGCAAGCCAGTGATCCCTTCCACGTTAAACCAGTAGCAATTGATCTTAACAGCTTTTTGGCACTAGATACAGAGACAGTGTGATTCATAGATTAAGGTCTCAGTAAAGTCCTCAGAGATTAAACTGAACACCCTATTCCTACACACAATCCTGTTGATTTACTGGTCAACTTACTACACTAGGAAGCAGTACTAATTCAGCATACCACAGTTTCTGTACAGGTAAAATTCCAGACTCAAACAAAGAACTGCTGGGAAATTAAAGTGCTCCAATTCTAGAAAGGATAAATCGCAAAACCCTTCTTACCTAATAAGAATATACAACCCTTTTTCTTTGCTCTAGACCTGAGAAGCTTCAGTAAACCATTGGGAAAATCTTTTCCCATTGAAACATTAACAGCTGTACAATGATAACAATTTTATCAAGGAACAGATCCAATTTTATTGGACATAGCATTTAGAAAAAAAAACCCACCCAACAATAGCCCATACCTCCTCCCCCAAAAAAATCCATAAGCAAGCCTTGGAAATCGTAGAGAAGGAAAAAAAAATACCAAACTGCATTTTGTTGACACTGACCATCACTTTCACAGATAAAAAATGAAAACTACAAGGTTTCCAAGTGCCCTTGAGGAAACTTATTTCACAGTTACCATAATTTGCCATCTGTAGCTTCCTTCTTTAATGAAGTCTTTAGAATAGACTTCATTGCAGATGAGTAGGAACTGTTAACTCTTCATTGTGGGGGTTTTGACAACTTGTGCAAGCTCTTTTAAATTAGAATTTCTTGCATATTAAAATGTAGGTTTATCCTTTCCCACATGAATCATTACACACTCTGTTAGCCTGTTAGTCAGCAAGAACATACCAGCAGCACTTTGAAAGCTGACTATCTATTACTGTCTAATGATACATTCCAACAATCTGCTAAAACTGAACATGTAGAGCTTCACATCTCCATGTGCTGTAATAATACAGGCATGACTGATGTTTCACATGTTTTATTGTTCACATTATTCGATGAGATAAATTCAGACAAATATGAAAAAGATTCTCCTAAAATTCTTACATTTTTCTTTTTTATTTTTGCCATCAGGTTTAAAATCGTATCTTAATGATTTATTGAATTATTCAAAAAATACCCCTGACAGCTATTGGAATAATTTAAAGACCATTGGATAAGTAACATATATTACAAAAATTATTCACCTGCAATTGTTTTTAGGACTTTTTTACCTTCTAAATAAACATCTTCATGATGCTGATCCAACATGTACATTCCTTGCTTTATTGTCACCTCAACCTCTCATTCTCCATCTATCTCACTCATCACTTTCAGTCTGTCATGACCAGCACTAGGAGCTCTTTGAAGACTTTTCTGTAGCTAATACAGCAAACCAAAAAGCATAATAATGTACCTAAGAAAAATACAAACAGGTGATATTGAAAATGGTGTGTTGCATTATGTTTGTCATCTAACTGTCCAAGTCATGGTCATTTCCCTTTATTTTCAAAATTATGATCATCAGCACAATTGTAACAACCTTCATTTTGTACTTGTGTCTAATTTACCTCCATATCTTCTTATCCTCTGACTTAACAGTCTGTTAAATCCACTTAACAGTCTGTTAGATCCACAAAATCATAAAATTACATGTAAGGAGGAAAATTGCTTCCTACACAAAAGCATTGATTTACTACATTGTCATCATGCCTCCAAGACATCAATTAAAGGAATAAAAGAGACAAACAGCTAAAACACTGAATACCCTACTTTCAGCCTATCAGTTCTTCCTTTCACTCTCACCAATGTCTTTTTCATCCCCTTACCCCCATGTATATATTTCAACTCTTACCTCCTCCTGCAGCTGTGATTGTGCTTTATGAGGGCTTAAACTAAAATCTGCACAGCTATGTATATATTTATGGCCCAAGTTAAAGCTATAGACTGGCTCTTTAGGAGGAAGAGTGGCTTGTCAGACTAGCATAATGGGGGTTGACAATAGCACCATAAATGTGCAGTAAAATGGGAAATGGAAAAATTCATCAAGCTGCACAATCTCAGTGTGTGAGCTATCCAGATATAGCCATCCAACTAATAAAAATTAAATGGAAATACACAAAGAATGGCAGGTGTTTTAGGGAAAAAAAAAAGCTAATCCTAGAAAGCTGTAGCCCTGTATTAAAAACACATTCATTTTCTGCCTGTAATGAAGCTGCAGATTTATGTAAACAGACAATATCTTCCAACCACTTAATATTTACCATTACAATAATATAGTCTAGTAGTCAGTCAAATATAAA